TCAATGCTTTTAATCAGCTCATCTATCCTCAAACTTAAATAAAAACTATACGTTTTGTCTTATTAATAAACATTAATGCTTTTAAAAATTAATGTTAAGCACTTAAGGAGAAAATTCCATAGCTCTTACTTAAGCAAATCTGCCCAGGACCTCCATTTTCAGGTCTGAGCACGTAACCGCCTCTAATATGTGCTTGTTGCCTTGAAGCATAAAAAACCTGAGGAGGGATGTTTTGACTTCAATTTTGCTTAAGATTTAGGGTTTCATTCTGCATTCTTAAAAGTAGACAGATTTTGCTACTCATGCTATCATAAACAAGCCTTGTAAGCATGGCCTCTCTACAGTTGTTGTGGTCTGGATTCTGTAGGAATTTGTGTGGTATCAGAGCTAATTTTGCTATGAAAACCAGGAATGGCACACAGAAACTTGTTCTTTTGTGGCACATCATTCCAGTTTCTCCTTCCATATGCAATTATCTTTGGTTTGCAGTGTCCTTCCCCTGTTCACAGAACATGGGGCACCATGGTTGGCCTGGTGAAGACACAGCAGCTGTCCTGCAGGCTGTTGTTCTAGTGAAATTTTGCCTGTTTGTTGAAATACCAGCCAAGACTCTTTTTTTCCCTTCAACTTTAATTTCAGAGTATATATATTAAGCATCAAATGTGCAAGTGTGTTGATGTTTAGTTTTACAAAAGGCTGAGTGCACTATTTTGGCATCAATTCAGGCTTCAGTATTTTCCACCTACATCACTTTGAGTGTGAACAGTATTTGAGACTGCAGCACCTGACAACTGAAGTATTTTACAGAAGTCTACAGGTAGTAGACAGGACACATATAATTAGAGTGCCAGACCAAAACTGAATTGTGAAATTCCTCACTGTGACTTTAAACTTGTAGCTTTCTAGAGATAAAAAAACAGGAAAAAAATACTGTGCCTTAAACCAGTAAATGAATACACTTTTAACTGTAGCCTGTGGACTTCTGTAGCCTTATATTCAATTTTTGAAGTTGACCAAAAATGTTTGTGTGGATCATACTGAAACTTGATTTGGGGAAAATACTTAATTATTTTGACCCCATTTTACACTTAGAGAAGTGAAGATTTATGACAAGTACAATATATTTTTGGTTTGGAATCACACCAACCAAAGTTAGAAAGCTTTAGCTAACCTTAATTTCTCAAATCTTTTGTTATGTAGAAAAGAAAAATAAGGAAAAGTAGTCTCAAATATTTGTCTCAACTTTGAAGTCTGTGTGTCAAATTTTTTGGAAACATTTTGTTCTTTATTTTCTTCAAAATTAGAAAAACCCCTCTAATTGTAGTTTAAGCAAAATACTGTATTAAACCGTTGAATATCAAAAATCTATGCTGGTGTGAGAAGAAAACTAGAAAGGGGTGAGATTAATTGTTTGTGTTAAGACTCCAGAAGTTTTCGATAATAAATTCACTTTTTAGGAAAAATATTCACATTTAAGTCCTTGAAAATTCATATATAAATTCCCCTTTTTTGGGAAAAAATTTATACATTGTTCTTCCTAATTCATTAAAGAAAACCAGAAATAGTCAAGATCTTAAAATGTTGTTTTCATACAGTAGAAGATTTCTTACATATATTTTTTTGATATGAAGAGCTAAGGAAAAGCCACTGCTGTCTTTCCTTATATGTCTCTTGAGGATTCTTTGTATGTTTTGAACAAACACCCACAAATTGTGACTTCTTCACCTTCCTGTGTTCGTACCATGTAACATGGGATCTTGGAAAATGATGCCATCTCAAAGCTTATTGTTGTACTGTGGGTATTTAGATATGCACACACAATGACTGCATGTCAGCAGATCACACTAGTTGTTTGAAGCAATACAAATCAAAGTTATTAACCTTCCTTTATTGACAACTACCTTGACTCTGGGTGCCACAATGCTGCTGATGCTGTGGCACACCAGATAACATGCAATTTTTGTGTCTTCTCTGCTACTTCCTTCTGTGTGTTCGTTTAGGACTCTTAAAACTCATTCTGGTCACCTAAGTTTTTCTTTTGTGATGATGTTTCAGTAATCCTGCTCACTGGTGATTTCCTAGCTACAGGAATGTTCTAGTATTAAAATTTATTGAGAGGGGAGAACTACCTTCGTGGCCTTTATATATGATGATAACTCGAGAAAAACTCTGTAACTTGATTCCCTGTCTACCTTTTAATTGTTTTTCCAGGCACAAAGACAGAAGGATGTTGGCAAAAATATCTGGTTTGGGTAATTAGAGGGGAGTTGTCTGTTTGGGTTTAAGAGGACTTAAAACTTGGAAGAACACATACATCATTTTTGGAAAAATCTATCAGAAGCAACCTGTCTTACATGATTTTAAGTCTTCCACTGTTTTCAGTTCTGACATAGCTACTGTCAACCTGGTGTTGTGTTGTACATGGAACTAACTCTTAATAATTACAGGTTTCTAGAGATGTTGACAGGGTCTTATCTGTAAATGTTTGAATGATGCTATAGTAAATTATTGTGCTTATTAAAATGTTTATAACCAAGTTGTTACAGGTCGTGCCATGCATCATAAACTTTGGCAAAGCCCTTGTCTTGTGAGATGCTCAGAAAACCTTGGAGAAGAGGTATTTTCAACTAATGTTGAAATTGCAGAAAACTGAAATCTCATAGTCTTTAAAAACTGTGCTTTTAGATACTGCTACTCTTTTGTTGTAGTTGAGGGCAACTTGATTGGGAACTACTCTGGGATATTCATGTTTTCCCAGTATGCAATGTATACTTCAAATTTTTTTATTTGTCTTTTTTTTACCTAAGTGTGCATGACTTAGAGTACATTGTATAGCACATCCCCTGCTAAATGAACATTTTTGTATGGTGTCCTAACGTGGTTGCATTAGTACAAATAGTTGCAATTCACAAAAAAGTGCCAGGTACCAGTCCTAGTCTGTAGAGTGTTGTGTGACCTGTACTTCTGTTGTACAAACACGCTAACGAGTGTTGTGATGAACGTTTGCCTTAGTCTTTGCTCAGGTGCTCATGTGGAGCAGTCTGGTGCTTTTCCTTCTAACTTGTAATACTTGGAATTCTAAGCAGAAAATAAAAATAGCAAACAAAAGCCTTGTGGTTGGAGCAGTGCTTTAACAGATGCTTTTTTCACATGTCAAGTGGAATACAATAAAGATCATACTGGATGAAGCCTGTCTCAGTATCTTAACTTGAATATCTTAGGCTTGCTGTCATGAATGGGAAATGCAATAAAATTCAAAATGTTTGGTGAATAATACAGTTTACATAGAGCATCATATATGTAAAACTTCTTCTCACCTAAACTAATGCATTTTAAATTTCTACCTTTTTGAGGTAAATTGCATGGAACTGAACCAGCAATGCTATGAGCATTTTCAGCTTCAGGGCAATTTAATTCAAACATACATGAATATTACTTACTGTGCCATAAGGGCACAGAATTAGTATAGACACTCTGAAAAGATTTGATTTACTGAAGATGTATGTCAAGAAAACGTTATGCTTAAGTTGGGGTGCATTTAAAAGGCAGCACACTGACATCTGGCTTTGAAAGCATTTGTTAAACTTAGCTACTGTTCTCAAAGGAGGATGCAATTTTGTTCAATCAGTGTAAGTATACTAATAGTATTTTAATATGAATGTGTTCTGCTTATTTTTGACTTTCTCTGAAGGAAAGAACTGAAATTTAAAAAAACCCCAAACCCTGCACAGTAAAATGAACCATAAGTCTGAACAGACTTTTAGCTCCAATAGTTTCTCAGATTTTTTAGCTGAGGAAGCAACAATACAAGCGTGTAAGGATTTTTTTTGTTTTTTTTAAAGACAGCTCACAGAAGATATATGCCAACTGAATCTCTTGCATATCTGCATACTTCATCAGTCACGCAGACTGCCTGAATTCCTGCAGTAATAAAACTCGTTTCAAATTTACAGATGACTTTGGTATGTTTTACTAACTGGATATACTGTGTATTCCCCAATTTGTTCTTTATAAAGAAATCAAAGGAATAAATTAATTGAGGGGAAAAAAGGGGCTGTTCTGGCTTTTTTTTCCCCTAACCTCTTCCTGAAGCTAAATAAGGAAATAAAATCTAATCCCAAACTGTAAACCATGCCTTTTCCACTTTCTGTCATTTTCTCTAGAGGAGCATATTTCTACTTCTGGCTGAAATAAGTATCTACCTAGAAAATCAATAAAGGAAGTTCCCTTACATTGGATCCTTCCTATTTAGAAGTTATTCAGTTGCTACTGCTGTGTTCTTGATGAGTCCACTATCTGGAAGTTGGCTGTTATAAAAAGTAATTGATGGAGGTTTGATGGATTGTCTTTTTGAGGGCATGATTTTTTTTTTATCCATATCTGCAGAATAATACAGAAGCTGGATAAATTCTCTTGAATTTTTATATGCTGCTGCAGACATGAAAATAATACTGCTAGCATTTTGTTTACTGTTTTGCTAATGATGTTTGGCTGTCCAAAACTTTGTCTTCTGGAAGGGTGATGGTAGGTTTTTGTTTTGCTTTTAAAATTTAAAACAAAAATGTAAAGCTTCTAGTCAGAAATAAACATCTATAATCTGGATTAAGATAATAATCAAAAATCTTTAGTTTTAACATGTCTATTTAGAGATATATTTTATGTGATACCTAATAAGGTATCATCTATATAGTGGAGGAAACAGTGTAGTGAAATTATAAACAAAAAATATGAGCAGCTCGGATATGAAGAATTCTGTGAAATAAGGCCAGGGTAAATTAGCATAGTCCTCCTTGTCTTAGTTTCTAGTCTGAGAGGAGGATATTAACTGCTGATAAAATCAGAGTAGGAAACCAATGCTTCCATTAAAAAGTTATAATTTTGGATATTGAAACAGACCTTACTTTTCTCTCTCTTTTTTCCCAGCATCAAGAAAATGATCCATATCTCATTTGCTTGAGAACCATCAGTCACCATTCTAGAGATATGGCTAATTACTTTTAATTAAAAATAATATTTTGATACAGCTCTGCTGTCTCTGCTGGAATTGTTTTAAACTTATTATGTTCTTACCACCAATTTTCTGCAATACAGCTTAGGAGGAATTTGTTCGATAGCAACATGTCTGAAGAGTATCAAGGATGAAATTCTCAAGGGTCTTTATGTCATGGATGGAAATGGAATCATTACTGTATTTTTGAACTCCTGCTAACGTCATTGACACCCACCTACAGTCCACTAGAAATATAAGAGCAGAGATCAGTTTGTTCACAGATTACGGGCAGACTAACCAAGAAGGGGCAAGCCAGAGCCAAATTCACTGGTAAGCTTTATTTTAAATAATGTGAAAGGGTGAATTTTTTTTCTCCCCTTGGGTCAAGTTGTGAACTGTGTCCCTAGTATATTGTACCAGGGTGTGTTGTTATTGCACTTATTAATATATGTAGTACAACTTCATTTAATGCGATTTTAAAGATTGAACTATCTGGATCTCGAGCCATTTTTTTGCTTCTTTTTGGAGCACACAGAGTTCTGATACTGTAGCTAATCAGCCACTGAAAATGGCTCTAATAACAAGTGCAAATTTACAAATGTAGTATTTTCTGTTAAATGTTCTACTAGTCCCTCAGTGTCTAAAAGTAGCTTTGGTATGGGAAACACTTCCTGAGAATAATTTGTTCTTCCTAGTCCCTTAGTACTAGAAAAACAGAAAAAAAAGCTGGTAACTTTTTTACATGGACATAATCTGCAATAGGCAGATTTTCCTTGGTTTAGCGTGGTTGGTTTATGTGTTACTAGTGACAACTCTGTAGGACTTAAGGAGTGTGTATGTTTGTCCTTCTTACAGACTGCTCATCTCCAACATGTGGAAAGTGGTGCTCCTGGGTCTATACATAGTGTTGGCTCTGAGAGGATTGGCAAAGGGTGCTCCTTTCCAACCAGAAGAAAAATGGAAACCTCTAGATAACCCGAGAAACAGAGACCTGGTAAGGAAATGCTTCAAGAAAGAGAGATAAAGTATTATGTGTTTGTTTTTTTTTCTTGTTTTCCATCAAGAGACTTTTTATCTTCTAAATTTAAAGATAATAGGAGTCCATTAGATGAAATGTTAGCAACTGTGCACTTTGTATAGTCAATAACCATTTTTCAGTCAAGGTGTACCCTTAACTGACAAGACATTCTCAGTGTGCAGTAGTGCATAAAGCTTCCTTATATCTCCTTCCAGCAGTTTTAGTTTTTAAAAATGTATTTTGATTATACAACTACTTGTTTCATGAAACAGAAGAGGAATGATTACTATGTTTCTTTCAGATATGTACTCTGATTTCATGTTGTTTCATTAAATGGAAGTGCAAATCCATTTGCATCCAACATGTCATGAACAGTGACTAAAGATCTGAAAGTGAATTATAGCAAAGAAAATACCATTATGAGAACACTGACACAATCTTAAAAAGAATTTGTGAAGGAAAAAAAACTGTTTCCCATAGTTCTTCCTCACTGTTTTAAGAAGCATCAGTTTCTACTTTTAACTGTTTATAAGGGTACAATTCAAATCAGTTGCCTACTGTTGCTGACTCCTAGAGAAATGTTTAACAGAACTGTCCTGTTTCCTCTCAGCAAGGGTTTGGCTGTGCCTGTTTTATGACGGGATACAGTTTGAATCCCCAGTGATTCAGTGGGAGCATAAAAGAGCAGTAAATAGTTTGTGGTCTTTTGACTTCACATACAAGCCATGGATGGAGTGGGCATGTCTGAATTATGTTGCCTATACTGTATCAATTTATGATCAAAATGTAGAGGATTTGATTCCACAGAGGAACAAATATTACATCTAATTTGTGTCAGTAGAAATGATTACTCTCCATTGGTGATGCTCTACTTATTTTCACATATGCCATATGCTCAGTTTTTCAGAACGCTCCAGGCTTATTTTTCGGGCAGGGGGCTTGATCTCAGGAGGTTCCCAGCTACTGTCACTGTGAACAAGGAAGGACCAAGGCCTCTCATGTTCTACGCAGATCCAATTGCTTCTGCATTTGCAGATTACGAAGAAAGGAAAAATTCTTTTCCAAGTCATTTCAAAGGCTGAAAGATGCTGTTGACCAAGGTAAAAGAGGAGGCCTCGTCCTCTGATGTTGTTACAGGTAACCAAGAGAAAGATTTGGATTCAAGTGATTCTTGCATCTGATTGAAGTGTAAAAACAACTACTTTTTTTAGAAGGAACTAAAAATGTAGTACCTTAACTCTTGACTGAAATGGTTTTTAACTTCTTGAGTTAGAGATTTGTGAGGTATTTACTACTTAAATAAAATAACACATGGTTCTTCTGCAGACCTATATAGACCGTGCTTTTTTATTTTCTCTTTTTTTCTCCTCTCTTTCATGTGGAGAAGCATTCTGAAAATGTACAGGTAATAGGGAATGTAGATTTTATTTAAGTAATTGATACCAGTAAAATTATAAGTTGAGACTAATGGTTTCTTAGGCTATATGTGTATTAAGAAAATTAATTTAGACAAAAGATATTGTACTACCCAAGCATACATTGTCTTCTACATCTTTGTCCATTGCTGCTGTTTTCCTTATTTCTACTAAATTTCTACTTATTTCTACTTATTTCGACTAAAATTGAAGGTTGATAGAAGGATTGCACCTTATCCACATCTCTCCTTAAATGTAAAACAGTTGAACTGGGTTAAACTTGCATTATTAATACATCCAGCCTCAATTTATAGGAGGTACTTCTCAGCTATTTTATGTATGAATAACTATACTCTGTAACAAATAAGTATCTTTTTTGTATCTCCTTTTGAAAGTGAATATTGGCAATTCTGAGGAAAGGTAAATATTTGTTTTCCTCTGTTTTACAAATAGTTGAGGATTTCAGTAAGATTTGAATCTAAGCACTTTGGTGATTTACTCAGTATCTTAAAGAGCTTAATTTGTCATCAATACTCGGCCTAGGATTTCCATCTCTGCCTGCTTAACCACATTGCTCTTTGTAATCAAAAGTGAAGCTCCACTACTCTTACTATCATGAATCAGAATGAAGACTGCTCTCAGATTTTAATACTAAGTTCTCTTTTTGCTGAGCTTATATGCCAGGGGAAAAAAAAAAGCACCACAGATTGAATATTGTGCATGAAAAATAAATGAAAAGGGACTTTAGAAAGGATGCTGTAGCTCTACTATAAGTCACAGCAGCAATGAGAAAGTGACTGGTGGAAGTAATTTGTCCTGCATAATTCAGGATGGTCATGGCCGTTCTTTTCAGTGTTCTGAACTGTTTTCTGGAAGCTGAGGTCTGCTGTGCTCAGTTGGGCTGTTTCAGCCAGTGTTACCAGGTCTTGGTTTGGATCAGACCTTGGTTGCATATAGATATTTCTGTATTTGTGTCACTTTTTTTTTTTGTCTTTTACAGGCTGTAGAACTTCACACGAAGTGATAACCTTCACAGCAAAATTTTACTGCTTTGACTTTTTAATTGTTACCTGACAGTTTAAAATGTTCTTCACTGTCACAGTTCCTACCTATGGAATGTGATGTCATGCTGTAATTAGCATATATTCGGTCTCTTGACAAATGTTTGGCTGTTTGGCTGCTACTCAGCTGTGGGCTGAGTCGGCTGAGCAGAATTGTGTTTGAGTGTGAATAAACGAGGAGTGCAAAAGAGTGCTTGCGGTTACCGCTAAGTGTCTTTGTGCAAAACTGAGAAATAAATGTTAGCTTTCAATTTATTAGAACTAGATATGTCCTAAGGTGTTTTGAGGCAATTTTTCAGATACGTTTTTGCTGAAAGCCCTTTCATTTCTCGGGTGGCTGAAGTGAACACTGGCCAGTGGCTGCTTGTGCCTCACCCCCAGCCCCGCACACCCGTTTCTGACCCTGCCCCAGGCAATAAGTCACCTGCACCATCACCGTATCTGTAGATGGAGTTACAAAACTCCTTCTCCTGTAAAATGGCCCCCCATTTCTGAGGAGATAACCTCACACCTGCACTGAGGTCGGTGACAGAGGACTTGCCCTCACCCCCGGCCCCTCCGAGGCAGCGACCGCAGCAGCGGCACCGCCCGGAGCCTCCCGGGCGGGAGCCCCCGCGGCTCCCGGAGCCCCCGGGATCGGGATCCCCTCGAGATCGGGAGCCCCTTCGGCCTCCCCCGGCACTGGCGCCGGCCGGAACTCCAGTGTGCGGGTGCGGGCTGCAGCGGGCGCCATAGCGGGCGGGACGCGGTGCTCCTTGCACAGCGTTCCCCCGGAGCGGGTCGAGACGGGGCCATGTCGGGCTTCAGCCCGGAGCTGATCGAGTACCTGGAGGGCAAGATCTCCTTCGAGGAGTTCGAGCAGCGCCGGGAGGAGCGCAAGAGCCGCGAGAAGGTTAGTGTGCCCCGCCTGGCCGCCCCACGGCCTGGGCCGCGCCATCCATGGCAGCACCGGGCAGGGCACGGACCGCTGCTCTGTGTGTGTATGGGGGGCTGGCGCGAACTGCTGCCGAGCTCAGGCGGGGATAGTGGCCATGGAGCTGTGAACTCCTGTGCACAAAGTACCGGGCACTAATTGCTGAGGTGCTGGTAGCGCAGCCCTGCGGGTCCTGCCGGGGTGGGTCGGAGCGCCGGCCCTGGCAGAGCTCGGGCAGCACCGTCCGGCCCCGCGGTTAATCGGTGCTGCGGGTCGGAGCACGGAGCAGAAGCAGGTTGGGGTATAAAATGATCCAGTGTACACTGCTACGGCTCCCCCACCATCTTCTGTGGGAAGTCTAAGGCAGAGGTGCAGTTTGGCTCCTCGTGTTTATTGTTTAGCTTTTTGGCTGCAGTAAAAGCAGGGAGGCACAGCTTTGTGTCTAAAAGTAAGCAGACGGTGGTATTAAGAGAAAATCTGTATGATTTATGGGACTGTTGCAATTTACTTTAACTTCTCCATCTTTGTGTCCAAATGTAACTGAATTTCTGTATTTCAAGAGCAAATTCAGGAGAACTCACCTGTGTTATCCTAGGGAAGGACAGGTGTTATCCTACCGGGTTAGCAGGTGCTATTGTGATGTATTTCATTTTGTGTTTAAAAAGGCAGGCTTTTGGAAGGATTTGTCATACACTTCTAACTTTTTTTTTTTTTTTTAATATAGTCAACCATGTCATCTTACCTAATGCCAAATAAACAGTGGACTAATCTCTTCAGTCAAAAGTAATGTGATTACTGATTCATTTAACATCGATAAGAATATAAATATCTTGAAAGCGAGTAGTGCTGGATTTTGTTCACTTAAAAATACAGCACTTATTCCACCTGTTTCGCTAGCAGTGCATGGAAACCCATGGTCTAAATGATAATTGCAAATATTAGGGGAAATAAGAATAGGTTATATGGTAAAGCTGATAACTAATATTGTTGGTGTGTGTAGGATGGTGGAAATGCGTCTGCTGAGGAAAATGATGAAGATGTGGAGGCTCCATCTTCATCCAAAAAAGCATCTGCGAAATCCCAAAGTCAGGATGAAGCTGATGGTATGTGTTAACATAATAATTCTTATTTAAAAAGTCTTTGAAAGCATTTGCTCTTCAGTAACTGACTTTTTATAAAACCTGGCTCCACTTTTCTCCTTCTGGCTTCTTAACTGTATGGTCTCAATTATTTACTCTCTCCAAAGTTACAAATAAATTGAACTTTTTAGCTGATCTCAGGAAGTCTTTTCTGGTTTGTGTTGACTTTTTTTTTTGTGTTCATATCTTTGCTAGTCTTCTGCTGAGATTTGACTTTTTCCAGAGTATTCTGTGTGAGTGTTGCCTTCTTCCATTGTCAACCAAAGTGAAACAAAATAGCTGTAAGGAGGAGTTTATTTATTTCTCTTTCTTTGGGGTTCTTTTCTTTTGCTTAGTTATGCTTTGGAGTGCCAATAATTATTTATCTTCTTATTTTCTGCTGGCTCTTCCTAGCTACAGATTCCCTTGCTGGTTTTCTTTGTGTGGTTTACTGAAATATCTTCTGAGTGTCTTTAGCAGAACAAGCTTAACTTTCTGGGGTTCTTACACAGTGAAAGGACTTGCAGGAAGTGGTAGGTGCAGCACTTCTCACTGCAGTTTGCATCAGTGCTTGTCGATCCCATGCCTCAGGTTCTGGATTTGAGCTTGGGATCCAGAGTGCTGCAGTCTGTTTCAGACACCTTCTCTTCAGAAGCTGTGCTCTGGTTGGGGCACAGTCTTGTGGGATTGCCAAGGCTGTGAGACAGCAGAGTGCAATTTGGATCCCTTTGTGTTGGTTCTTAGCTTCCTCTTGCTATTTTCACTGCAAATTCTCATCGTTCTGTTTAAGTTTGTTTTGTTGGATTTTTTTCTTTTCTTAAATTTAGAAAATAGACCTTAAATTGGCCCACCTAAAAGGTGTGTCAGTGGTACCTCAGTTTTGAAAGTATGGCCAGACCTCATCCTAGAAGCACATAAAATGAACACTGAAGTGTGGTCAGAGCCAGATATCTGTGGTTCCTTATTGACCCCTTCCTTTTACTCATGTCTCTGAAATATTTCCAAGCTGCTCTGCTCTACTCTGTATTCCACCTCTGTATTCCCATGGTTTTTTAATGCACATCATCTTTATCTAAGAAAAAGATATCCTCATAGGTTTGTGTGATAGTGTTACTTCTGCTCTTACTACAGAGAACACAGAAGTGTCAAGAGCAAGGAAACATTGATAATAGTTATCACTATTTAAGGAGTTGGTATTAGAATCAGACCTAAGATATTCAGAAGAATAAAAAATGTTAGATAAAAAAATATTAGGTAAGGTCATTGTTAAGGTCACTTTTGATACCCAGATCTTCAGATGTAATCTGCTGCAATCTTCAGATGATTCCTGCAGCCAAGGATACTGAAATAAAAGGGAAATTAAATTAATAATTGAGGCTTTTTTTCAGATGGAGGGAGGAGGGAGAAAAATCTTGATTTTTAGATGCTTGATATCCAAGTCAGAATAAAAATAATTGAACATATCCAAGTCAGAAAAAAAAAAAAAGAAGAAAAAACCAACCATAAACTCAGGTGTAGTCCCCAGTTCCCTCTTCTGTATAGGCAATACATGATAGATTTGTTTTTCAGTCTCAACTTGATACTGTGATTATTCTTTCATCAAATCTTTAGGTGCCCAGTCCCCCAGTTGAAACGTTTGAACCCTGCATATTTGGATGTTTTGCATGTAGAGCTGTGGTCAGTTATAACCCTGGGCTAACTTAGTAATGAGAAGTTGTAAATAAAAAATGTGAAAATTTAAAAAATTGTATACTTTAAGCATATTTATTTGGGTTATATTGCATCATTTTCTTACTTATTTTAAGAATTCTGTTATTTTTCTAGAGAAATGTGAATAATCTGGATTTTGCATTAACACATGTTAAAAGGTACTTATTGTCATGGATGGAATAGTCACAAGATCTTGTTTTAAATCACTTCTAAAAATTGGTTGCTGCATTTTTGTGTAGTAGAATTATCTGTTCATTTATAGCCTCTTCAGCTGAAAAGCTTTATTCCAGCCAGCCAGCTTGGTGCTTGAAAATTAATATGCTTCTCTTGGATGGATTGAGAAAAATGTTGAATAAACTGTTGCTTCATTCTTTGTGTTCCTCTGTGCTTTCATTTCAAAAATCCAAAAAATGTTAGAGGCTGGGGTATACTGAGCATTGGTAATGAATAATGCAGAGTTTTAAAACCACAGAGGCTCTTAATAGTTTTTCTTCATTTCTGCAGGCAGCATTCTTACAGAATAGCTGCTTCAAGTGGGCTGTTGTTTTCTCTGCACTTGTCCTGATAAGCAGCTTGTACTCTTGATTATATCATAGACCTTTTTTGCTTCTTTCTCAACCAGGAGAAACATCAGATGGTGTCAGTAAATCAGTTCATCGGGTCTTCGCATCCATGATTGGGGAAAATGAAGAGGAGGAGGAAGAGGAAGAGGAAGAAGAAGAAGAAGAAGAAGAGGAACAAACTACTGAGCAGCCGACAGCTGGAGATGTTTTTGTTTTGGAGATGGTACTTAATCGAGAGACCAAGAAAATGATGAAAGCAAGTATTTAAACTTTCATGTACCTTCCCTGTATCTCCTGACCATGCCGCATAAATGGCAGATTTGTGTGATTTTAGCTACTTGCTAAGAAATTTGTCTGGAAGCAGTCCCACATAGGATACCTCTGCTTATGCTGGTTTTTGTTATGCTGTCTTTGTTTTTAAAAAAAATTACTGTAGGTTACTGTTTGAAAACTTTCAAAAATCATGAAACCAGTTTTTCCAGTGTCAGGATTCCAGTGTTTATATTAGGTATCAGAGTTACTCTGTCAGCTATGAAAATTTGAAAATCTTTTGGTCAGTCACTTAATATCACTAGTACTTAAATAACCTGTTATTAGGTTTTTTTAAGCACAAGTGTGACTGATGTCTCCTGAATATGAGCACAGCTTAAACTTCAGCAGAAGTAATATCCCTTTTCCATTTAGGAGAAAAGACCTCGCAGCAAACTGCCTCGTGCCTTGAGGGGTCTGATGGGAGAGGCCAACATCAGGTTTGCTCGAGGAGAGCGTGAGGAGGCCATTCTGATGTGCATGGAAATCATTCGGCAAGGTGTGTCACACTGGGAGAACTGCTGGGCTTCAAGGGTGGGCCGAAATCTCCGTGTGCATGAGGGAATTCAGTGGGGCTTCTCTGAAGATGAAAATAATCACTATAAGGAAAGTCAGTGTATAAGTAGTATGGAATTAAGAATA